TTGTTGGCCATTAAAATTAACAGACAAACCAACTAAAGGTCTAATGATCGACCTGAGCCATGGGGAGAAGAAATTATCCAGTGTCCCCTTTCTTTTTCCCTGGTTAGCAGCTACTATTCCTGGATAAACAATATCTAATTTTGCCTTTTTGATTAAATATATTTTCGCTAACTATCACGTTATCACTTTTTTTACACCAATCTGCAAAATGTGATGGAAGCCCAAACTTTGTCACCAGCTGGTATTCCTTAAATCCAACATCCTTAATAGCAAGGTTGTAAGCAGTACTGAGGCCTTCCCAGGGGCTCCAAATTTCAAGGTGGAACCTTCTAATATTTAAAAATGCAAACGATATTATTTAGTGACGTCTAACTAAGACAACTCTTCAATTTAAAAATCAAATATACAAACCACTAATATTTTAGGAAATAGATGAACTCTCTTAGAACACTATTTACAGGTAGTCCCCAACTTACAATGTATTTGAATCACCACAACCTGCACTTAACAACTGGTTTACATTTTGTTGTTGTTGTTGTTGTTGTTTTGTGGTTTAAATTTTTAAATGTGTTCATTTTACCATTAATAACATGTACTACCTTCAATGCTGCACCATGTAATTTACCAATGTTATCATTCATAAATGCTCACTCACAGATGTTCAACTTTATAACACAGTGGGTTATGCACTGGACTCTTAACTGCTAGGTCGGCAGTTCAAGCCCAGCAGCCCCTCTAAGGAGCATGAAACTTTCTACTCCCATCAAGGTTCACAGCCTGGGAAACCCACAGGGGCAATTTTTACTCAATCCAATAGGATTGCTAAGAGTTCAAATCGACTAGAAGGCAGTGAGGTTTTTCAGTTCTCTAAATTAATTGAATCAGAGGTCTCTGTTGCCTGAAAACAGGGAGCAAAATGCTGATCATTTTGCTGCAGTTGAAAGGCAGATTCGGAAAGCAAGGACATGTTACCACATGATACATGAAGAAGAAAAGGGTCATAACAGGCAGTTCCGACTAATTTTGAGCAGAAATGGCATGACCATTCCCATGGATAAATCACATGATCTAGAACTGAAAAAACACTAATGTCATCCAACTCTTCTTCGCAGAGTAAATTAAATGTTTATGATCTATACTTTTTGTGTGTCTTAAAATGTATTTGCAGTTTCGATTGATTTTCTAGCCCTCAAAGACAAATAAGTAAATACGGAATTTATAAAGATACTGACAATTATTAAAACTGAAAAAAGAATGAGGTATCATTAAAATTACAATCAACTTACCATGGTATGGTCAGAATGGAGCCTTGTCAGTTGGGGGCTGTGTGTACTGTACAACATGATACAGTTAGCAAAATGTTATTTCTAAAGTAGGTTGACTTTCACATTGGATGAATCTTTCTGGCAACTAAATTTCCTGAGATAAAGTCTCTCCCTCTTTACTTCTAAAGAGCATTCTGCCTGTACGTCTTCCAAGACAGATATGTTCTCTGCCAGTCCACAGCACTTGCAATATTTTTCCCCAGCACCATAATTCAACATTTTAAAGAAGTCTCGTGCAGCAGATTTACCCAATGCAATTTGATCTCTTGATTGCTGCTTCCATAAGCATTGCTTGTGGATCCAAGCAAGATGAAATTCTTGGCAACTTCAATCTTTTCTCCATTTATCAAGATGTTAGCTTTTGGTTCAGTTGTGAGAATTTGGTTTCGTCTACATGAAGTTGTAAATCCACACTGAAGGCTGCCGTCCTCGATCTTCATCAGCAAATGCTTCAGGTCCTCTGCAGCTTCCGCAAGCAAGGTTATGCCATCGGCATTTTGCATATGCAAAATGGCACAGCCAGTTCAGCAGTTTATTACACAGTTAAATGCAGGCTTATCACCCAATCTAGCAATTGTGCTCCTAGATACTTCCCAAAGAGAGTTGAAAAGTTGTTCAATGCAGAGTCTGTACATGAATGTTTATAGCAGTTTTATTCATAATAGCCCCAACTGGAAGCAACTAAGATATTGTTCCGTCGGTAAATGGATGAACAAACTAGTACATCTCTAAAATTTGACCTAGCCAGCCACACAAATACACAGAAGAAGCTTAAAAACATGAAAAAAAGGCCAGTCAGGAAAAGAGCCACGATACGGGGCTGCAACAATGCAAAACTGAAGAGGCAGTAAGAAGACGGAGTGACTGCTGAGGGAGAGAGGAGGAGGGAAGGAGGGGAGCATAAAGCAGTACAGGGCTTTTTAAGGCTGTTCAACTTTCCTATAGGATAATGTCATGGTACATAGCATGATCAATTTGCCAAAGTTCACAGAACTATACAAAACAAAAATAAAATATCATTAATAAAATGTGTTGATATTGGTCTTTTCAATTGCAATGCACCACATGAATACAAAATGGTAACAGGAGTATATGAGAAGTCTACCCTAAATGTTCAATTTTTCAATAAACCTAATGTTTCTAAAAAGTCCTCTTCCCACCAAATCATTGGCTTCATCAGCTCACCTTGGTCAGTTGAAGATTTCATTCACCTTGGGACATAACACATCACTTTAAATTTTTCATTTTCAGATATTTATGTAGTAAATGAATGAATGAACAAATTACTGTTTTCTATTCACTCAATAGCACCAACATCTACTGAATCACTAATGTCAGAAACCAACCATTTTATTTGGCTTCTCCTCTCATGCTAAACTGCCACCCCACATCTTATGGAGTGTACTTCTAAGATCTCTTTCAAATATATCCTATTTTATTCTAACGCTATTGCCAGGTCAAGCACTCTTTTGAAATAGGATAGACTCACGGCATAGTCTGTCTTCCTTCTGCTGGACCTTACACCAGGTTCTTTTTCTTTAAATAGCCTGTGTGTATCCACAAACACTAACCTCTCTTTCTCCCTGTCCACTTGCTCTTCTACCTTCAATCTGTTTTTCTCATTCTAGGCCACATGCTGTTTTCATAAAGTGCTGGTACAGTTGTTTAAATTTTACATAATGTTAAGGCATTTAAAGAATTATTAATGTTACCCACACACTCACTATCTTTTCCTTTTTCAAACTCATCTAATGTTGAAAAGATGATTGGATTCACCTTCACTTCCAGTTTTTTATGGGCAGTGATAATGCCACAAAGGTTTTATTTACCTTTTATGTAAAATGCCAGGCAAATTTTCAGAAATTATTTGTTTAAATATTCATACTTTTTCAATTAGTTCAATATATACAGTACAGGGTGCGTGAGTAGCCCTGATGAAGTAGACAATGTTAATTTGGGTTAAAGGGAAAGTATTAAGAGGAAGAGAAGTAAAAAATGATAGCAGGGGAAGACATTGGGAAGAGTACGAGAGTTAAAGGCAACAGAAATAAACACTATTATATACATAATTCTACACTCATGGTGAAATATGAATAGAAGTATACTGAATGATTATGGGAAGAGTAGGAGCTAACCTATGAACATACACAGGTTTGATAGAGGCTATTTGTACATGTGTACCTACCATCGTTGCAAATATATCCTTAAATGTGGTAGAATATAAAGGGGCCAAAATTTTTTTTTTTTTAAACTCATAGACGTAACCAAACACCTTGAGGGAGTGAGTCTCTCTCTCTCTTTTTAAATCATTTTATTGGGGGCTCATACAACTCTTATCACAATCCATACATACATCTGTTGTGTCAAACACATTTGTACATTTGTTGCCACCATCATTCTCAAAACATTTGCTTTCTACTTGAGCCCTTGGTATCAGCTCCTCATTTTTCCCCTCCCTCCCCGCCCCCCTCATGAACGCTTGATAATTTATAAATTATTATTATTATTTTGTCATGTCTTACACTGTCCGACGTCTCAGGGAGGGAGTCTCTTGGGCCTGGGGTTGAAGGATCATTATCTCAAGAACATTAAGGTCAATTGGTATAAAACAGTTCACAAAGACAGTGATGTATAATAACTAAGGCTCATGGCCAGCCATCTAAGGGACGACTAGCCGCTCACTGTCTGGAGGGCAAAGGAGTGAAAGAAATGGAAGGTGCATGAAAGCAATTACGTAGTCCAATGAAATAATGGACAACACAGATACCATTCTCCACCATCCTGACACAACAAGTATTAGGCGGTGCCTGGGCACCACTACTAAGGGCTCTCAAAGGGATGATATTAGACGTTCTTGGATAGAGTGGGAGAAAATTAAAAAATAGACCAGGCTTACTGGTTGGATCGAGATTGGAGGAACCCTGACGATGGCCCTCAGTCACTCTTCAGTTCTGGAAATGGTCTTATTGCCATGGCTCCACTTTCAGCCAACTAATAGGTCTATCAGGAGAACAGTAACACTAGAGAAGTACACATACCTCAGGATAATCAACCATTTGACATCAAAAGAACAGCAATCACCCACAGACAAGGTACAGACAGGTTAAGGAAGAAAGAAAAATGGAAAACAGGAAACACGGGAGAAATGGGATAAGTGATGTTACATTGTGAGGACTACAATCAATGACATGAAACAAAACTGTATACCAATTATTGAATGGAAAACAGATTTGCTTAGTGAACTTGTACCCAATTCACAATAAAAACTCTACAAACAATGCTAGTGAGTCTAGGAGAGACTAGAATTTTCATAAACTGCTAGTGACACAGTAAAATGGTACAACCATTGAAGAAAACATATGGTACCATATGGTAATTCCTTAAAAAGTTGGAAACCAAAATAGCATATGATCCAGCAATCTCACTTAGGTATGCATCCAGAGGTATAGAAATATGACCAGTGACACAATATATATAAGTACACCCATGTCCATCCTGCCTCAATTCACAATAAGACAACAACAACCACCCCCAATTCTAAATCAAATTAAAGAGATGATTTAGATGTCTCCAAACAGCAAACAAAAATCTTATAATTTTAGCTTTGAAGAAGGCACTAATTAAAAGATAAAAAATATCAATCATGCTTATTAAAAAAAAGTTATTTATTCTTACCAGATAAAGCAGAAAGGTGTGCAGCCCTGTCCCAAGTCCAACAGAAGACAAAATTCCTAAGCCTATCCAGTAGGCATACAAAAGAAATTGTTTCTCTATCCGTTGTACATACTGAAAAACAAAAGGGGGGAGAGAAGAAATTTTAAATAGGAAACATGAAAAGAAAAAGCCACTGAAGAAGCTAAGTGCATTTAATATGCCATGGCAGAGATGGACAAAAAAATGTCTAGTGGACTAAAGATTTTCTTTCTAGACTTTTAAAGTCCTGATATTTATATAACACAAGCAAATTACTATGAAAACCATGAGAATAAAAAGTTTTAAGGTACTGAAAAATTAGGAAAACTTTTTTAAAAGCATGACAAAACACTAGAAGCAAGATAGGGGAGGTTATAGACATAATGTTTGCAAACAGAATCTGTTCGTGGTTATCCAATTGAAAATGGAACTAAAATGATTTTTGTACACTGAAGATTCAGATGTTTTCAAACAGGAGCAAACCTAAAGGAGCCTATTGTCCACTGGGAGCCAGCTTTATAGGAAGAAACAACAGAAAGGAACAACAGACATTGATGGCTGAACCTCTTACCTGTTGATGTGCTCCTTCAACATAATACGTAGCTATAAGCACAGCAAGCAGCAGTAAAAAAGATACCACAATGCTTTGTCGATGCCATAATCTTAAAAAATAAATGAAAAATGTTTAAAAAAATGAAATATCTATATTTTCATTTTCAGGATTCATTATTCTCAGAGCAATTTATTGTTGACCTAGTTTACATTATCTAGTTCAGCAAAAGAATCAATTCTTTCTAGGCTGAACTCTTTAACAATTTTATTCTCTCATAAAGATTTAAAAGTCAAGGAAGGGGGAAGGAGCACTAGAACTGATTGTGATTGCACAACTCATTTTAAAGGCGATTTAATAATAGGATAAGGAATGCTCTAAGATTGATGTAGTGGTGACTGTATAATTCCCCTTGATATGATTGAATGATTGAATTTATTGTATGATACGTAAATTATGGGCTAATAAAACAGTTGAGCTAAATAAATAAAAGCTATCAGTGGGGAAAAAAAGGTTGAGAGGCTCAGAAACCCTACATAGGGTTGCTAGGCATCAGAATCTACTTGGTAGTTTTGGTTTATTTGTTATGTGCTCACAGGGAAAAGATGCAGAGGGAGGTCAAGAAAAGGTACATGAGCAATTTTTTATAAAAGTCTATTTTATAAATTTTTTCACCGCCAATTTTTTCACCAAAGTCATTTCCTTATTTTATCTCCATTATACTACCATTTCTAATCTGGAGAAGCATTATAGTACAATAAAAATAATAACACTGTCCTTTATATTAGAGGACTTGGTTCAGAGTGTTATCCATTTTGACCAAGTCTCATCTTTAAAACTCTATTAATCATATACTTGACCTTCAAAGCAAAACCACCCCACCACCACCAAAAAAACCCCCAAACACCAAACCCACCATCAGTCAGCTGATTCTGACTCACAGTCATTCTCTACAGGGTTTCCAAGACTGCAGGCCTCTATGGGAGCAGCCAGCTTATTCTTTCTCCAAAAGAACTGCAGCTGGGCTTGAATCACCAATCTTACGGCTAATACCCCAGTGCTCATCCCACAACACTAGGGCTCCTTTACTTTCTTTCCTCTTAGCTGCTGAAAGTATCAGATGAGCTGAAAATGCTACAAACTGCTTTATAAACTCTAAGATACAATCTCTCTCTTTAGAGATAATACCTTGGAAGGGCATGCTGGAAAGCTGTATAGCATGTACAAGTGCAACTTGCCCTTTCTGACTTTTGAAGCAAGGCTTACAAGTACTACATTTAAAGAGAGAACACACTTCCATATTGCCGTTCTTTCACTACTGGCTCCAATTAGCAGTGAAAAGTGCCACGTATCCTGAACCTTGGACCGCCATTACAGAATCACTGTAATGACTGTACACAACCTGATGTATCCTGAGGGGAAAGCCAGGAGAAAACAAATCTAACTTTCAGTGTTTGTATAAAAGATCCAACATTAGATACTAGTCAACTGCAACAATCTAGTGAGCCAATAGCAATACTTTTTCCTGATCTATTTTTCCTCAAAGTACAGAATAGAGTATATGTATATTCCTAAGATAACATTTTACATTTAACTAATCCATTTTTATAGAAGACATGGAAGGAATGACACTGAGGTATTCTACAATTAGTAAAGAAAATTAATATAGTAGGTAAAGTAAGATTCTTTACTTTGAGGTCCATTCCTTCAAGATTATTAGGATTTCAAGAAAAAAATACTGCAAGGTAATGAGTGGCTGTCTCCACAGGACAATATTCTGCCTTTCTTCCCGATCCCTCCTCTTCTTCTCACTCATTGAAGAGGGATCTGAAAAATGATAGTGCAAAAGTTAAAATCAAATTTCTAACACTTATTTTTACTCTTTCCAGTCACTTTCAAATTCAGCCACAAAGACCACATATAAATTCTCAAACAATAGGATTCACATTTGAGTCTTCTAAGTTTAACTAACCCGAGATTACCCGTTCTCTACAGGCAATCTTTGGAACACAATTCTAATTACTTAAAAGGCAGCTGATTACACTAGAAAGCCAAAAACTGTGAGTCCCCAAAACTGCCATTGTGACTTGTAAATGGTGTAAATCAAAACATGTAGAACTATTTAAGGAAAGGTTAGAGAGCTGGAAATAGCACCTTAAGAAGGGCATAGACCTAGCTGGAAGAGATGTCAAGAAATAATAGCTCCACAATTTATTATTTTTGCTTATTAAGGATTTCAATGTCCTTATAGCAATACTTTTTGACACAGACTCATGGAAATCTGTTTACTCAAAGATACCATAATGCTCAAAAGCACCCAATGGGAAAAGACTATTATGTTTACAATGCTGATTTGGGAATCCTCAAGATATTAACAAAAGACAATGAATATTAGAAACATAGGTGGTCCTTGACTTATGACATATTTGAGTTGAGGCAAATTGCATTTAGTCAATTCATCTTACTATTAATAATATGTTAAAACACATGATTTGATGTTAATCCTACATGTTCCAATTGCAGATGTTCAATTTTATGATTTACTGTTTGAAATGCTGCAGAATTTATAAAGATATTGATAATAAAAGGAAATAATAGTGAAACCTGAAGGAAAAAAAAGTGTTTGCTTAAGAACCCTTCTTAAGTCAGGGACTATCTGTACTACATTTCTAGCTTATTCCCCAATGAAAAGCTCATACTTTAAATCAGTACATCTTTGCCCTACAAACCATTATACTTTACCTGTAAAGTTGCCATTATGTTGTTCCTTGTTCATTGCTACACGTCTCTGGTCACGACAACTCTTTCCATTCTCTGCCATTTCATAGATCAGTAATTCTCGAAGAGCTGAAAAAGTGGAGGGGTAAAAAACTTAGACAAATACTACATCTTCCTGCTTTGCAGATGCAATAGATAAAACTGAATACAGCAACAAGATCTCATATGCTACTTGTATGACACACATACATAGTGTCTACATTTGCTTTTTTTTCTTTTGTAACCAAGATTTGAACACTAATACAGAATTTTAAGATATATTTTTTGTTATGAATATAAACAGAACACCAATTTCTACATATACAATCAGTGGCATTGATTACATTCTTAAAAGTTTTGCAACACTTCTCACATTCCTTTTCTTAATTGTTCTTCCCCCATTAACATTCTCACTCACCCTAATCAAACCCACTGCCTCCACAGGTTCCCAGGCTGTAATCTTTACTGAAGCAAACTGCTTCATCTTTCTCCAGCAGAGCAGCTTTTGTGTTCAAACGGCTGACCTCTTTGCTAGCATCCCCAAAGCTCTTGAACATGCTCATGTCCAGTCTTTGGGGTTGCTGCTGTCAATCTGATTCCAGGCAGTTCTTAAAAGATCACAATGCTCAAGGCAGACAGTCTTTACTCGGTAAATTATGGTGTTTGTTTAGAAGGAGACTTCAGGGCACATTTTTTATTTAAGGTTTACAGATTGTTTCTAAAACGTGTGTCTTGTTAATGAAAACAAGTGAGGGTGTATAAATAAGACTACAAACACAGATTATAGACATTTGTCATTCGAGGAGAGTCTCTTGGATACAGTCCATTTGGGGACACCTGCTTTGTCATCTTAATTTCTCAATAAGTAAATACAGCATAATCTTTCTTTAGCATATATATCCTGCAGTAGATAATCATAAAATTTCAAGTCAGAAATTCTAGATTTGCCACCAACCAGTCATGTGATCTTAAGCAAATTTCATTTTCTCCATGCCTTCATATCCTGGATCCACAAAATCTGGGCAGTAACTCCTGCTTTCAAAGGATAGGTGTGAGAATCAAATACTGTTTACACATGTGTATGTGTGTGTATGTGCGCAAGAGGGCTTCAAACGGCTCATTGACAAATTCCATTACCAAAATAAAGAGAAACGGAAATGCTCATTACCTTTTAATTAGATTTTGTTAGGTAGGTAGGTAGAGCAGGGACCAGGGGTGTCTACTGGGCATGCTCCAAATTCAGGCTTGGAGCCCAGGAGGCGGTACACCTGGGTGGACACAAACTAGGCCAGGTGGACTTAATTCAGCAGATGGGGTCAACCAGGACCATGAACCATGGCTCCAGCCCAGAGCCCTAAAGGCAGGAACCTGGAGACTTCCAGCTTCTTGCCCTTTTGGCTTCTGCTCCACTTCCGGCTCGGCTGTGCTGTGCAAGGTCTCTCTCTTTCTGGCCTCAGGCCGCCACTTGTGGGTGCAGTCCCATGAGGTTGCCTGTATTCAGTGACTGTATAGCCTGAAACTTCACTCCTTTACAAAAACCCACTTGGGCCACAAACCAGGTTTCAGCATGAATTCTCTTGTGGGAAGCCAAGAACTGTGGTATTTCCCACCCGAGAAACTGAACAAATTTTCTATGAAGTTTTTGATGCTCCCTTACATGTATAAAGGGCAATATGGATGGAAGGAGTAGGAGGGATATAAAGCAATAACTGTAGAACTGCTCATACTGGAAAAACCACTGCACGGCACATATTCCACCACCACTGTCGGTGCTGTGCCGCTTATTCAATAGACACAAGACATATACTGAGGTCTGTGAACCACTATCCTCAGGAAGTTTACAGTCCGATAGGGAAGCCAAATAAGCACAAGCAATCAATATTATACAATGATGTGGGTATAATAAAATTAAGAAGTTTTACTCAATAGGAAGACAGTGGTAAGAAATAAAGTTTTAAAATACAAGAGGCCTGGGTTAAAATCCAACCTACACAAGTAATCATTCTATAAGTTTGGATTAGTTTCTAAAACCCTCTAAATATCAGCGTCTCGAATTTGTAGAGCACTGTATGTAATGCACCAATATACTGTTTCACTCTGATTTAACTCACTATACACAAGTGCTACAGTATATAGATTATAGTACGTGGAATAGCACGAGTGGCATTGTCAGGGAAAAGCGTCCATAAAGATAAGCAGCCTCGGAAATTGGATACAGGGCCACAGCGAGTAGGAACTGACTGAATAACAGTAGGCTTGGTTTGGGTTTCTACTGAAGACGAAGAAAACGAATGGAACTCTGAGGGCAATATATTCAGGAGAATTCAGAGAGGCTGAAAGTTTTAGTTTGCAATTTAAGTCAAACTTCTGTGAAGATGCTGTGAAAAGACAACGTAGACCAAGCTATGTAAAGCATGAAAAAACAAATGATAATCATTTTGTGAATGTGGTGTAGTGGGCTGTAAGCTGAAAGGTCCGTGGTTTGAAGTCACCAGCTGAGCTGAGGGAGAAAGACGGGCTTTTCTACTCCCACCAAGTTGTAATTCCACCCTGTCCTACAGGGTCAGCTCGGTCGCAGTGAGTTTGGTTTTGGTTTTATCTGTAAGATCAGGGAATCTTAATAACTCATTGCTATCTAGTCAATTCAGACTCACAGCAACCCTATAGGGCAAAGTAGAACTGCCCCTGTGAGCTCTGAGGCTGTAAATTTTTATGGGAATAGAATGCCTCATCTTTCTCCTTCAGAGTGGCTGGTAGTTTCAAACTGCTGACCCTGTAGTTAGCAGTCCAACTTGTAGTCAACTACACCACCAGGGCTCCTTAAGAGTAGCTCAATAGGCTTATAAAATATAAATCCAATCCATAAATCAGTAAATACTTAAAACTGTGTGGGTTTATTTTAATCAAAACCCTATATGCAATTCCTTTTAGATATGAACAGTCATCTAAAGCATAATAAACAAAATATTAAATTTCTGCTAAGATGATGATCAGGACACAAAAAGCTTGGGTTAGACTGTATTTCTCCCTATTTATTTTTTTTCTCATAGTGCCATCTTCAAGAGATAAACGTTTTATACAAAACAATGTGGATTTATTGAGTTATAAAATGGAATTGTGGGCTTATTTGAAGTGTTTTGTTTTTAAGATATTGCGACAGAAATTTTCATTTGAAAAAATAATGTGTTCTTACACAATGTGCTTAAAAAGAAAAGATCTATTGACATTTTCTTCTCAAAAATTCTCTCAAGAGTCTGGAATTTTGTTTTGTAAGAACCTAAGGAACTAAGTTATTTTCTCTTAATCATTCCACTTTTTCACAAACAAGTTCAGTATTAAAAACAACTTTTCACTGTCCCCAAGAGAAAGAACTATAAAATAAAGCCAAGCAAGCAAAGTAAAACAGCTTATCGGAACCATGGGGGTTCTGAATAATTAAACTCATCAAAATTTCCGAGCTTTTTGCATTTTAACCATATAGGGCGGAAAGTTTTGGAAAGAATATTACACTATTGTTATTTTCTTTTAAAATTCTCCCCAGGCTTTGTGGCCGCACTAGAAGAGAAAGATGGCGGCATCCGTGGTAGCTGCTCCAGAATTGGGGCTTGCACCGGCGAGAGCATTGGCAGTGAAGTGCAGACACTCCTCGTGCGGCCCCCACCCGATTGGGAAAACCGAGAAGTCTCCATAGGGACCACGATCATGGCTGTGCAGTTTGACGGGGGCGTGGTTCTGGGCCCTACATCGCCAATCGAATGACTGACAGGCTGACCCCAATTCATGATCGAATATTCTGCTGCCGTTCAGGTCAGCTGCTGATACCCAGGCTGTAGCTGATGCCGTCACTTACCAGCTAGGCTTACACAGCATTGAGCTCAATGAGCCTCCACTGGTACACACTGCAGCCAGCCTCTTTAAGATGTGTTACCGATACCCCGGGAAGACCTGATGGCAGGAATCATCATCGCAGGCTGGGACCCCCAAGAGGGAGGGCAGGTGTACTCAGTGCTCATGAGGGGTATGATGGTGCTGCAGTCCTTTGCCATTGGAGGCTCCGGGAGCTCCTCTATCTATGGCTATGTCGATGCTACCTACCTACAGGGAGGGCATGACCAAGGAGGAGTGTCTGCACTTCACTGCCAATGCTCTCGCTCTGGCCATGGCGCGGGACGGCTCCAGTGGAGGGGTGGATCCTCCTGGCAGCCATTGCAGAATCAGGGGTAGAGCAACAGGTTCTCTTGGGCGACCAGATCCCCAAATTCACCATTGCCACCTTACCACCCCCCTGAAGCCTGCAATTATGGAATATAAAAGGCCTGCCCCCCTCCAACTTGACGTGGAATTCAGTAAAGTTTGACACACACCCCAAAAAAATCTCCCCCAAACATCCTTTGTTCTTTTGCCCTTCTCTTCCTTAATCATGCACATAATGTAAAATTCCAAAGGCCCTCATCTGCTTCTTGTGCTTTATCTATCTGAGCAACTGAACACAGCTACTGAAGGAAAAAGAAAGAAAATAAATCATAGAACTACACAACCATGCTCCACCACACTATTAAGTACCCAGTATGTATGAAAGGAGCTCTCATTTATTATGGGTTACACACTGACCTACTAACAGTAAGGTTGGCAGTGCAAACCCACCAGTTGCTCTTGGAGAGAAAGCCTATCCCTGTAAAGATTTTAAGTTTTGGAAACCTAAAAGGGCAGATCTATTCTGTCCTATAGGAGTATGTGCCAGCCATTACTTGAGATGTTAGATATCAATCTTCAAATTGATCCTCTCTACTTGTGAACTCATTCTCACTCACATGGCTATTTGATTCATTTTCTTTTTGTTCCTCAAACTTTGTACCCTACTCTCTTCCTTCTTACCTTCAGACATAATTTAATTCATTTTATTATCAAGTAAATAAGGAGTCCTGGTGAGGTAGTGAGTTGCATGAAGAGGTTTTAAAATTTTAATGGAAAATGGAATAGAGGATAATGGAATACTGTAGGTTTTTAGAATCACCCTTAGCTATCTTAGTAGTTGTCTTCTCTTTACAAGCAGGGCAGTGTCCTCCACCTACTGAAGGCCATTATGTCTA